GCGGGACTAAGTTCGGAATGGGCTAAGTTTTCATTATTTGCTTTCTTCTTTTTAAGCACCTTTGGTAAATATGTATACAGACATTGATTCATCTTTTATTGAAGCAACATTATTTCAAACTTGTAGAAAAATATAAAATCTTTTCTCATCAATTTGCAGAAAATGAAATGCAATAAAAAAAATCCTTTCAATTTAATGAAACCAAATTTTTTTTTTTTACTTAGAATTTCTTAAATTGATCAAAATTTCTAGAATCTATGCCTTCTTTATGAGAATTGATAAGACAAGAGCATGTCCACCAATTAGCACAGATACATTTTTCAATTTTCAGAAGACAAAAAAAACTACTGTAATCTTCGGACTTTAAGCCCCATTTTTCGACCTTGCGGCTTATATAACAATGCGGCTTATCTATGGACTTTTACAGCTAACGGCCACTAGCGTAATACCTAAATCTATGGATTTTACCATCCACCATGTTGACGTCACGTTTGCTTCTACACACAAGTACGGTAGCCGCACGCGGCGGAATGCGGAGGTCCTCCGGAAGCAGACTTCTACCGCGAGTGGTACGAGACAGAACGACAGCGAGAAAGACGGACATTAAACATAAAAAAATCTGTGGCTTATAGTCCGGTGCGGCTTGTATATGTACAAATCATGCAATTTAGCTTCTGCGGCTTATATTCAGGTGCGGCTAATAGTCAGAAAATTACGGTAATAGGAAATAGCTTGTCAGAATTTACCCATATATACTTGCAAATCAGCAATTATACAGTTAAAGCAGAAATGACTATGACAATAACTTTGCTTTATGAGAGCACAAGATTATTTTGCGAAAATGGAACGTAAAGGAAACATGAGACATATGAACAAAACCCTGTCTGCCACTGTTGGAGAATCATCAGTAATGATGAGAGTGATGGTAAGCCACACGAATTTCTTGTTTGTACAAAGAATCATGTCATTTTAGTTATTTCTTTTGTTTGATATGGATGTTAGAGTCCAGAGATTTGTTAGACCCCAGCCCCAAGAGGTTTAATTTAAAACTTAAGTCTTTTTTTTTTTTTTTTTTTACAAAAAAAGGGATTAAAAACAAATGATCAGCACTAACCTTGTTCCCCAGAGGTTAGATAAATATTCCACCATGGCCCTTCACATCTCCAAATATAATCGCTAGAAGAAATACTAGAATATATTTGAGAGTATCTAGATCTGGATTTTCTTGGAAGAGTCTGCAAAGCGATTGGCAAAATATAACTGTGTGCTCTAACCTTGGGAGACAGAAAAATAAGGCTAAGTTCTTCTGCAATGTTCCTCAGATGTTTTTTGTTTTTTTTTCTTCAAAACTTTAAACTATCCAAGGTTACACTTGTAGTATAACATTATAGATAAAGTGGTTTCACAGCAGGACTGAGATAGCAGGTTTCCTTTGTTTGCAGCAGATGAGCTAAAATGTTTCACTGATTGGAGGGAAAAAAATGTCAGAATTTGAACACTTGAAGTTCAAGTTAAGTCTCGATGTTAACCTTTGGACTAGAAAAAGGGTTGCAGTAATATTTTAAAATGATCTTATCAGGTGTTTTCCATCGCTATAAATCATGCAAACTGAACAGAAAATTATAATATTTAATTCTTATAGATAATGACAGCATCTCTGGTTTAAATATAGTGACTGTTTAAGGTGTGAAACATGCTTCTGTAAAACTGCTAAAGTTAAAACCTGTAACTGAGCTGCTTCCTGTAAATCTTTGATCAACATTTGGAACAAATGGCTTTTGACCTACTTAAACGCTTTCAGGGCTGAAAATAAACCCGTTCACCTTTCACCCTCATCTGAGCTGCTTTCATATCGATTATCAGTGAAATCAGACATGTCCTATTGGCTTGAAGCTGATTGGAAAAAAATTCTAAACACCACTAGAAAAAAACCAAACTTTCAGAAACCATTTTTTTTAAATGACTATGGTTTTGTGGGAGCCACATTGAAATCAGCAAGTATTTGTGAAACAGCCTGCAGCATGGAACATTCTCCTCATAGACTCTTCGAGGTTCATTTCCAATCAGTCATGAATTTAATGCCTTAGACTTTCTAAGGATGTCTTTAATAATGTGCATTCCTTCACAGCTACAGTCTATAAATAGATGCTTCCAGCATCATGATTCTTCTTGCCTAAAGGCAAACAAATGATCTAAGACGTCAACAACACTATTGATTAATTAGTTACAGTGAAGAAGAGGGACCTTTTTAGCCTTCCTAACAAACGGCTATAATCCAGCAGCCTATATGAGCAGCTGGTGAAAGCATTCAATGCACTGACTGTGCTTTCTGAGCACAGTGTCGAATTATGTTAGTGATAAAATACAAAGTGTCATTTTGGTTTTTAAATGTCTTTACAATAGTATTTAGAGGCTGTGTGTTTGATGATCTAGATATTCTGATTTATAAACGGTAATAAAAAGTTTTGCTTGAAAACGGAAAATTAGGAAACCAAGACCGAAAACCAAAACACCAAAATAAGTTATTAGGTCATAAAATTAAAATCATAGCATTTTTGGCTTTGGTGTGTACCAACGCAATAGAGAAAAGAACTCATATTATTTTTTTTTAACTCAAGTCATTTCAATAAATTATTAGTTATTCAATAAAAAAATACCAAAAACATAATTTACCACTGACATTATTATTTCAGCAGAATCTCTGGAAGCTGCATTTTCAATGACGTCTGCCACAGACGGAGTTAGTGTCGGTTTCCTTTTCCGCGTTGCGTTCTTATATTTGGGAAGAATTGGAATTTTATAGCATGATTTTTTTTGGGACCGACGTGAAACGTTTAAACTCGCTCCCCTACACTGAAGCCCGTGCTCTCTTGCCTCAGTGCTTCTGATATCGGACGCCCTGTTTGTCGCGTCATCGCAAGTTTTGGCCGTGTTGTTTCGGTGTTACACGTCTATTGACAGAAAATCGTAAATGCACTTATTGGTCTGTTAATACATTGTCTTTATTCTAGGATTTAGGAGTGGTTTGTAAAGAGGAAGTAAACCAGATAACTGTCTTTATACACTCCTCAGGGTTTGTTGAGTTCAGCCTTTTGGACCAGGTTCATCTGTTGGAGTGCTGCTGGCTGGAGGTGCTGATGATGGGATTAATGTGGAGGTCTGTGGAACATCCAGGAAAACTCATCTTCTCTCCTGACCTCTGCCTGAGCAGGTACATTCTTCTACTTTGATACATTTTTTTAAAATGCCCTATATTGTACATATGTCACCTCTGTGTTACTCCCTTGTATTTTTTATCTGTTTATTCCTTATTTTTTTATTTCTTTTTATTTTATTTTTATTTTTATTTATTTTTATTCTTAATGCACCTTTTCCTCCTTGCCAATATGTGACGAGTGAATTTCTCCGCTGTGAGATCAATAAAGCTTATCTAATCTAATCTTATTTTGCTTTTTAATTCACTTTGGTTCCTTTTAGTTGATTTGCTAAATTGTCAAAGATGACAAATGCTTGTTATCTGCATGAATGTCATTTTGTGTTTTGATTGAAACTTTTATTTTTTTATAAAAAAAATAAATAAAAAAAACAGATTTTAGACAGATTTTTTAAGTTTGATGTGTAAAATTTTATATTATTTGGGATTTTTCTCTTGAGTCAAAATTAGCATTTCATATTAGATTGTGTTCCTGCTTCATGTATCACTTGGCAGGTTAAACATCATCCACAAACGTTTTGTTATAATCAGCGAGTTTCTGCCAGAAAGCAGGCTGAATACTTTACTGCTTCAATTGGCCGAAACAACAGAACTCATTTAAAGTGGTTGACATCCGGAAAAGTCCCTGCGTTTTAAACCGAGCCCTTGTAGCATAAAGGTCTGGGAACTTTACGTACGGGAAAAAAGAAGTTCTTTAAAGTTGGGGAAAAATTAAAGCACATATTAATAAGAAATATGGAAGCTAGATGTAACTTATATCAAAGGGTTTTTGCTGTAGATGTTGATGGCTGTAGGCAGGAAGGATCCTCTATAGTGGTCTTAAACATTTTAAGTTGGCTATGTTTCATATTTAATGACAGTTGTTATTTTAATGGGTACAAATGATTAAGCATAAAACTATAAAGGATTTTATATCAATTATGCTGAACACATATTGCAGGCATTTGGGTTCCTCTGGGGTCAGCTTGACCCCAAACTGTTTAAACTACGTATTATCTGCAGGTGTGGAGTTACTGCTACTTTTGAGCTGATACATGACATGGAGGAGGAAAACCAATACTTTTATCAGAACTTTGCACACCACAGCCATGAATGTGTGTCTGTGTGTGAATATTGGGGTATCTTTCCTCCACTTTCAATCGCATCCTAAATTTGACAAAATTGGACAAGATTTTCAACTCTTGAAATGCAACTTTTACCTGGTGTTGACCCTGCATGAAAGGTCATAGCATCACCAATGGGGTTCGACTACTGTTAGAATTTATGTTGTCTTTAAATTTGAAATGATTAAGAAAAAACATTTTTAATACAAACTAATTCTAATTGAAAAGTCTGGCCTAATGGTGGCACTAGACGACAGGTTAATGTCTCCTCATCACGGGGGTGTATATGTAATAAACAAATAAATGACTTGGTCAACTTTATTCTCTAAATCATTTTATGGAGGCGAATAATCCTGGGGTCAGATGGACCCCAAGATGCTGAAAGAAGACTGAAAACAATTTATTTATTTTTTTAGTTGTTTATGAACATCTATTTGTTAGAAATTTTGATGTTATTTTTTTCCACCAATCCAGTCCTTGGGCTTCCAAAGCTCATCACTTTTTTTCTTACATGCTTATTATTGAAAGACTAGCTTACTGTGTGATATAGTGGCTGCAAACATAGATCTGTTTTTTCATTCTTAGTTGTGAAAAACAGTATTATTTTACAAGCATGTTTTACATCTTGAATTTTGTCGCCCCTTTAAATTAAGGTCATTTTCCAAAGAAGGGACTGAAATCAAAGCTAGTTTTTTAACCCTTTATAGGGCAAGTTATCCTTTTTGATCACTTGCATACCCCTTAGAAATGGAGCCCCCCACTTTTCTTATTTTTCTTAATACATTCAGACAAGTTGGCGTTTCTTGTTATTAAATGAAAATCAATTTTGCCAACAAAAAAACCAAAATTTTGAAATTTAAAAAGGTAATAAGGTAATGATTTAAAATTTTGTGAAAATGTCTTAAACTAAGTGTATTTATCCTTAATTTGAGTAGGTAAATAAGAAAATCTCAAAGTGGAAGGAGCATTTTTATCCATAAAATCAGATTATTTAATATTATGCACTTGAAATAGGAGACTGCATTTTTTTCCTTATTTTAAATGGAAATTTTCTTATTCCATTTGCAAAGTGTCTCACTTACCTGCTCAATTCAAGAAAAAATGCACTTATTTTAAGAAAAAATGAAGTACTTAGATTTCAGTTTTTTGCAGTTCGCTCTTTGCTTGAAAGTTGGACATTTAAAGTCTTTTTACTGAGTGCCCTATAAAGGGTTAACGCAATATACGTCTTTTTTTTCTTTTCTTTTTTTATTAAAGGCAACAAAAAAAAAATCAATCAGATTTGGTAGGAAAAGATTTTTAAGCCATATTGCCCAGCCCTAAATAAAAACCCCAAAGTGACACCGGGGTCTTGCAGTAGGTTTCTGCTGCAGTACATTACTGGATTTTTAGAAAGAGTCTAAGTTATTTCTCATGGCCGTCCAGATAAATAATTGCTCTTTAAAAAAAAAATTAATAAATGAGGCCAGACTTTAATTTGGCAGAGAGAATGTTAAAGAAAATCCAATTCTTCTTGTGTTTTTTTTTATTCTTATTTTTTGTGATTAAACACATGAGTCCTAAAATTTAGTAGTTGGACAATTTTTTGAGAGATGAGTCCAATACAGTATTCTAGGAAATATACCGCATATTGTTTATGAAACATAAAATGGAATTCAGATAGACGTGTCATGATTTAGGGGAACTTCGATGCAAAGGAAACTGGACGGCTCCCTATCATAGAATTATAAACTGTGAGTCGATGTAAGTTCTGCTGAAGGACAACTGGACCTGGAAATATGACAAAGACCCAAAATCTACAAGTAAACCCATCAACACCTGGCTGTGAATAGGGAAATATAAAGTCCTTGGCCCAGATCGTATTATTATTTAGTTGCTTTGAGTGAGTTGAATTAGGCTTTGCATCCAATAAAACTCCTCAAACATCTGAGAGCTGATGTAAGGGACTGATGGATGGCTGCAAGAAGCATCTTGTATTTCACAGAGGTGTGAATAGTTTTAACTTATGGTTAGTCAGTAATTTTAAAGTGGCACCTATCAGTAGTTCTGCAGGTTTTCCTAGAGGACTTTTAACTCTTTCTTTGGATTTTTGCTACTTTTTCTCTCTTTCTGAAAGAATCACTGTCCTCAAGGTCTGATTGTTCCACATAAATATCAGAATTTGGACGGAGCTGATAAGAGTTTGTGTGTTACAGGGAGGAGGGGAGCTGTGTCCAGGGCTTCATGGAGATCTTTGACATGCTGATCGCTGCCACGTCCAGAGTGAGAGAACTCAAGCTGACGAGGGAGGAATACGTCTGTCTCAAGGCCATGATCCTCCTCAACTCCAGTGAGTGAGCATGTTTGTGTGGGCGGACTAACTAACACACATGATAAGATCTTAGATAGAACATAGCTGAGCGTTTCATCGGTGACCCGACATGGAATGACGTGGAAGTAAAAAAAAAAAAAAAAACATTGTGGCTTTTGTCAAAAGTATATTATCCTGAGGCAGCTCTATGCTATAGTATTGCTTTACTTAACAACATAATGCTTTACAAGACACAATGTGAAGGAAGATGTAACATTAGCAATAGGTAGAATAATCAGATGTAAATATAGATGATATAAATGATATAAGTCAAGGTTTCAAGTCTTTGAACTAAGACGTAAAAGAACAAAATATTGACCAGTGTGGCTTTGAGTGACCAATAGCAACATAAGTCCTCGTACTCGTCGTATTCTGTTTATCTGGGACCAGGTTGCGGAGGCAGCAGTCTCAGCATAGACTTCCACACTTCCCTCTCCCCGCACGTCCTCCAACTCTTCGAGGGGAAATGTTCCAGGGCCTCCTGAGAGACATTGTTCCTCCAGTTTGTCCTGGACGGTCCCCTGGGCCTCCTCCCACACCGCAAACATTTCAACATAAGGAAGTCAGTTTGTATGGAAATAGTTGCATTTTCCCTTGATTTGAGCAGACTCGTAAGTTAACATTTCTTGGAGAATTGCCTAAGTTTGGAGAATGGTATTAAAAAAACTAGGAAAACGAGACAAAACAGAAACTACCCTGAATTTCTCCAAAACTATAACACTATTATTACTGTTATTATTACTGGTATGTTGCATATTTTGCTAATGAACCTAATTAACGGTTGGATTGGGTTGAATTATTTTAGTGAAGCTACTTCTAACTAGGGTTGCCACTAACAATTATTTTGCAAATCGATTAATCTGCCGATAGTTTTTTTTTTTCGATTAATTGATTAATAATCGGACAGCCAAAGATTCCAAGATTCCTTTAAGATTTTTTTACGAAATTAAACCAGGTGCGACAAAAACTTATGTAATTCTGGATAGAGCAGTGACATTTTTTTTTTTACTTTAAATGCAAAATGTTTAAAAGTTTTTTTTTTTTTTTTTTTTGTCTCTGTATAATTACTGCTCTAAGTGGGTTGCTCTGTCAGCTTAAGGATTGTTTTAGGGTCTCTATACTCCAGTTAACCGTTAATCAACTACTAAAATAGTTAACAATTATTTCAATAATCAATTAATCCAATTAATAGTTTCATCCTTACATATAACCTTAAATGAAGCGGCATTAAAAGACTTTCCTTAAAAGCAAATCTAGCATTTTGTAGCTAACAGTAATGAAGGAGAGTGCAGAGTTAGATACAAGTACTCCACAGGCTGATCAGTAGATCTGTTCACTTTGGATGTTTGTCTTTATGCATGATGTGCAGAAAGCATCAGGGAGAAATAAAGTCTCATTTCATTTCTGTTCTTGCTCCATCAGAATGGAAAAGAGATCATATCTCTCCTATCCTGGCTTCTCTTCATTGGCTTCCTGTTAAATCCAGAATATAATTTAAAATC